ATGGCCGCTTGTTTATCTTCAAGCCTTTAAGACCCCAGATGCTATATCTTTTGATAGCTGGGCACCATCAGCTTTCTTCAACACATTTGCTACGCACCCACTTTATCTACAGCGATCATGTCAGGAAGGTGAGCATCAAGGAATGCCAGATTAATAGAAAAAAGTGTTCTTACATTGAGGGAGTACTTGAGTAGAGGCCCAATGTCCATGCGCTACCTTAATACTAAACTTATAAATACATGTACATTGATCTATTCCCCCATAAAGGTTGCAATCCTTATAGAACCAGGCTTCTACATCTTTCTTCCAAGGAGTCAATCACTGGTAGATGTTAAAAGCCAGCCTTTCAGTTAGTAACCCAGTGGTTAACTACTGTGCCAGCAGGGCACAAATATAGTGCCAAGCATAGTACAAAGTAGGCACTCAATAGGATTCAGTTTTTACTCTCTATCAGTGGTTCAGAATTATTAGGCATAGCCCAGTGAAGATTCTCCACTCCTGTATATCGCTGTGTTATCATTTGATGTATGGTAAGATGAAGTGAGGATCCTTACCAAATAATCTCCTACATACTGCTATATATTACAGTGATTATATACTCCAAACCGAAAACACAAGGATCTGGACAGAGTACATGTTATTTATCAAGAAATCAAATGATCTACTGCATTGAGCAAAGCTGCTGCACAAGACCTCTTTGAAGAGCCAGGACTGAGGTGTGCCTTATCCAGGTTTTGGCATTTTCAATTGCCTCCTATGCATGTGAAAGTTGGGCAGTGGATAAAGGAGACTGAAGAAGAATCAATGCGTTTAATTATGGTGCTGGTAAAGATTACTGAAAGTACTACAGACTCAGAAAAAATAAATCTTGTCTTGGAATAGCCAGAAGATTCCTTGGCAGAAAGAATGGTTATCTCATAGACTTTGAAGCATGTTATCAGGAGAAACCCGTCCCTGGAAAAGGACCTCATACTTGGTAAAGTAGAAGGTCAACCAAAAGGAGGAAGGCCCTCTG